AGAAAAAGAAATTAGCTGATACAGACATTAGAATCGATGAAGCGTTTGATATTTAAGAAATCTGCTTCAAACATCGAATTAAGTCAACAAACTCCCAATGAGTGAACTACTTAAGGAAATCATATTGGAAACACACTACGAAATTATCACGTACTGCTGAAACAAGATCGTATGTTCAGTATTATTTCAACAACATACTTTTTGAAACAGACCTTGGAAAATATGATGAGAATGAAAGTTTATCTTTACCAACATTTTATGGTAACCACCACCAACATCTCACACTTCAAACTACTCATATAGTTTATCAAAATTCACCACAACCATCTACATCACACTCAGTTAAAGTCAATCCTATTCAACAAACCACTATTTTATATGGAACATGGGATGGGTCTTCTTTAGAATTAACATATCTAGGTYAGGTAACAACTTATTTTTATTTGAATGRAAAAGTTATTGTTTTTATTTTAATTTTGATGAAAAAGTATGTWTTTTATGTTTTTATTATGTTTTAATTTGAATGAAGATTAATAAATTGTTATGTTATTATTAATAAAAATGTTATTTTATTCATAAAACATTATTGCCTATATGCATTACTTACTTTTTCATATTCCTTTAAAACTTCAACAAGTGCCATGCAGACTTCAGGAATTATACATGAAATTATTTGTTTTGAAATTCTAAACAAATATTGCAAGCTGCTATACGAATCTCCGGTGGCAAGAAATCTCAGCGTAACAGCTAGCCTAACTGTTACCGAAATAGCTGGACGCATATTCGTATCTAGCTTGATTATTTTTGGTCCGATGAGATTAATAATTTTTTAAAAATCAGCTGATAACATTCTCGTAAAATTTCTAAAATGGAAACTGTGTACATCAGACTGCATACTATTTATCAAATTAGCTCCTCTATTTTTATTATCGATGTAAAAGTTTAAATCTCCAAAAGCGTCTTTTACGTCGAACTTTTTTTCTTTGATTTTCATAAGTTCATGCATTACAACGAACGCTACACATGCAACTTGTAAATGATTACTCATAAATCATAATGAATAAATAAAATAATTATAAAATAATTTGTCATACATAAAAAAATTTAATACTGTTTAAATTAAATTATTAAAAAATTGTTAGTACTTAACTATTCGCATTCGAGTGAGCTCACTTCGAACGTCGCACAATGTTCGATMGTGAATACGCGCCTTTAGATGGAATGGAATAGAGTATAGTAGGTACCTATACAAGTATACTATATTATTGAAACGGTGTTAAATTGTGTACATGTTTGATATTTTATAAAATACAAAGATATCTACTGGAGTATTACAAAGATATCTTATTTACTATATAACCAGGTGACACATAATTTTCATCGTAAAATATTATTGTTTCTAACCAAAAGCCTACCGTATATCTTATTACTAGTTACTTACGTCCAAAATATTAAAAATTCAAATTGATATAAAAAAAAAAAATTTTACATTCGTAGTAAGTAAGTAGTTACATACTATTAAAAAATAATTTTTGTTGCTAAAAAATCATATTTTAAATTTTAATAGTATAAATATTAAATAATAACATAAACGTATTAGGTATATAGATATTTATTGTTAACAATTTAGATCGTAATGACGTGACGTACATTATAGTTCTACTCACTAATAACTGATGGACTGTCCCCACCGATATAATAATAAGATACTTATGATTATTGTTAGTATAAACAGTAAGTACCTATACGTTTAATATCATATAATATCAATGCTGAATATCTAATCTATTCACAACAAATATTAAAACATTTAAATCAGATTATAATATAATGTAGGTGGGTGCATTGTCTTCGAACTAGAAATAAATTGTTCAAACATATTATATAAATATAGAAAAATAAAGAAAAAAGTATAGGTATAAACGTAATAAGTAAACTGATAACAACAATAGCTAATAGGTGTAATAATATAATACGCTAAAGAGTATAAGAGGAATCGACTATAAAAGCATTTGCGTTGAATGATATTATTTTGGTATAATATTAAAGTGTTGTAATATTTTATAATATAAATAATTATCATTATTGATCAACGATGGTCCTCAATAAACTTTTACACTCGGCTCCGCAATCATCCTAAAAAAAAATTTGATGTATATCATTAACAATTGGTTAGTTCTAACGTTAGGTATATAAAAACATCATATTTATGTTTTATCTTATTGTTTAATCTTTATAGTTTATTAATAATTTTAAATAGACTCTCATAAAACCATAGGTACTTAAATTCTTCTCACCTACTATATTACTCGTATATTATATATTAGATATAATATAATATTTACAATATTAGAGCGACATAAAAAATTGATTAAAATTAACTCAATGTAATCATTATTTATTTCTRTAATAAATCCGTCCCCCACATTAAATTCCTGCAGTCTATGGCACTGCATAATGAGTAATAGTTACTAATAGAATATAGAATGTWATAAGTTTATAGGTTATAAAATAATTGAGATGGACTGGATGGTGAACGCGTTTGGACACACTTTACCAACATCTAAATTTTATCATTCGAAGCTCTCTCCACTGCATTGTATGCTGCATCTGATTCAAAAACAACTTAATTATCCAATTTATATTCATAACCTTTTAACCAATTTTGTGAAATTTTTTTTTTTTTTTTAGCTGAAAATGTGGTGAAATTGCATGTCATCGAATTTTATTCAATAGTCAATTAAGTTTTAGCACTGAATTTTGAGGTTTGATTTCACTTCTTTATTTACCACAATTTTAACAGGAACTTTCTTTATACCTTCTCTTGCACCTACTAAGCACAGAATTTTGATATTGATTTAAATTCTTTATTTATCTTTTCTTTATTTTTAAAATTCAAGTACTCCACTCCATTTAAGTAAAGCACAGAAGACCTTTTTTACTTCTCCGAAGTTTTTTTTGGAGATTTCAGATATTTTTCTGAAGCAAGAGACATTAATTCTATATTGATAATCTATTTTATAATTATATATTATTTATCTTCTAATACTTATATGTGGTATAGTATAAATATAATATAACAATATAATATATTAAGGTRCATATATATTATATTACCATTCTGCACACGAAATAAAACCCATATGAAAATACAGCTTTCTCATTCGTTCCACATTTGGCGGGATAAAATATTTAAATTATTTGTTATTATTATCATTATTTTTATTAGGTTCATGCTTAACAATATTTTAGCATATCCCTTCTTATTTAATCTAGACAAAGGATATTTAAATATTTTAAATATTTAATTCATAAGCATGCAATAGAAATATTTATTAGATTAAATAATTTTTATTCGAGGCAAGCTTTATAGTATAGTACAGGGATCGGCAACTGGCGGACCGCRGTAGATTTTTTTCACTGGACCTCATTGATTTATTATTTTAATCTTTAGGACTCCAATAGAAATTACTTGCCGACTCCTGGATACTATAMAAATTAATCTGTTGTTATTCTAAATTCTTATTGTTTTGTAACTGTTAAGTTATCATAGTAACAAAATAGCATACATACTAATTTAAATAATAGTAATATGAATTAAAATTTGTTTGTTACATAATTTCACTAACATCTAATTAAGTATTATAGATTTGATTATTATATAACTTACAATTAATTTTTCAATATTATACTTTATAGGCAATATATTATACACAATATGTGTAACTTTTATTTTTAATTCTGTATAAAAATCTATTCAATCTGAATAGTGATGGTRGCATGGTGWTATTGAACTTATACAACATGATTTTGATTTATCAACAAAATCTTTTAAAATGGGTTTGACATGATGACATTGTTTTTGCATTACTTTATCAATTAGGGTGGTTTAAAATAAATATTTATATTGCATGATTTATAAAAATCTATTTTTAATTTTATTTTAAAGCCACTAGTATACAAATATGATAACTTAACAGTTAAAAAATAATACGAATTTAGATTAACAACAGATTAATTCTTATATACTATACTATATAGCTGAAACCGTGCACTTCGTAGCCCGTTAAAAATCCTACCTCTTATATGGTTCATAATTCAAATTGTGTGTTAAATATTCATTTCATGTGATGATGCTAGCAGTATATTTTTATACATAATGATAGATAGCGGTTAAAATATATTATAATCTTACAGCGATATTCAATTTCATATATCATTATGTAATTTTCTTCGTTTTTTCAATATTTTGACTATTTAAATATTAAATTCAATGATATTTAGGCATAACACTTTCTAACTTAACATATCTTCTGCCCATATGTCTAATAATATTCTGTACCAAATTTTGTCGCAATCGGTCCAGCTGTTTAAGAATGTATATAGACAAACAGATATATATATATATACCTATCTATCTACATAGCTATATCTCTATATCTATGATGTCTGTTTATCCTTTATTTAAATGCTTTATAAAATATGCATAATTTTTACGTTTTCCCAATAATCACGCTTAGATAAATACTGCAATAATAATTATATTAAATTTCGTCACAATCGATCTACCAATTGGAATTGGAATGCATAAAGGATAAACAGATAAAAATCCATTTTTATTTATTTTATTTTCATATAAATTGCTCATTAAACATATACTAACGCTTGTGATTTATTAATTAATTAAATAGAAAACTTTTAGTTATTCTTTGCATAAATTAGGCAACAGTTTAGATCAAATAACAACCCTAATGTGATATAATTTAAAACAGTTTTAAAGCAAATTTGTCTTAAGAGGACGCTACACCCGCATGGCCGCATGTGTTGTCTTATACGCGTACTGCATAGCAAATTTTCGTTCGCTAGATTCAATAGTGTTCTGTTAGTTTTGATATTAGAGTGAATTGACCTATTATCAAACTTTTAGGTATTATAAAATTTAAATTAAACTTAAATTTATAAATTTATAAATCCACCTTGGTAAGAACATTATCTGTGTTCTCGTGTTGGTTTTTACGATATTTTAATTTTTAAATGAGTTATGTGAATTTTCAAATATTCACACTTGTCATGCTCATAACTCATTTAAAAATTAAAATATCGTAAAAAACCAACACGAGAACACAGATAATAATGTTCTTACCTAAAAGTTTGATAATAGGTCAATTCACTCTAATATCAAAACTAACAGATAGTGACACTATTGAATCTAGCGAACGAAAATTTGGTATGTAGTACGTGTGTAAGACGGAGACAACACATGCGGTTGTAGCGTCCTCTTAACCATGGACATTGAATTCTAATTGGTAAAATAAAATAATTTAAATGGTTTCCATTGATTACAAAAAATATTATCAGCTCATTTTTTGCTGGATAGATGGCGCCACTGTCATATCATCACCACCTCGTCATATTCATCTAACCCGATAACTTTCTCTAATTTTTCATCCATAAGATTCTTCTCCTAACGATACGAACCCAACAAAAAAATAATGAGCCAAATCGGCTCAGCCGTTYTCAATTGATGAATTGTTATACACTTTTGTCTCCATTTTTATATAGATTATAAAGCTAGCCTCGAATAAAAATCTATTTAATCTAATAAATATTTCTATTGCATGCTTATGAATTAAATATTTAAAATATTTAAATATCCTTTGTCTAGATTAAATTAGAAGGGATATGCTAAAATATTGTTGAGCGTGAACCTAATAAAAATAATGATAATTTAATAATAAATAATTTAAATATTTTATCCCGCCATAATATGTGGAACGAATGAGAAAACTGTATTTTCATATGGGTTTTATTTCGTGTGCAGAATGGTAATATACCACCGGGCCGTCGTAAAGCACTGAACGCTATCTAGCGAGAATTATCGATAAAAACAAATTTAAGAAATGTGCTATCAGGCACCCCCGTAAGTCAATATATAATATAATGAATAAAATATAAATACGTGAAATTTTTTTAACGTGCAACGATTTACTCGATAAAAGCCAAAATGTAATATCACCCTGCAGCATACATACAAAAATAAAAATAAACAAGCCATTAGTTAACGCAAGAACAAAATAATCTATTTAGCGATAATATTACATATAAATTAAATTCTTATAATAATATTAATATTATTATAAGTAGGAAAATATTTCTGAATAATAATACACTCGTAACAATATAACTTTATAACAATTTATACAACTTATAAATTAGTAAATTTATATAAAATGGAAAGCAAAGTATTATAGTGAAGTATATAGTAGCTTGCAAGTGAGTAATTAATTCTCTCTGTACGGTGGCTCGAAGAAATTGAATTTTTATTAATAACTGTATGTGAAACTTTAACAATGGCCTTATATTTTTATTAACAATAAAAAAAAATTATACATATTATATTGCGTATGTATATTTAAAGATAATTTAAGAAACATTTTGAGAAATATCTACTTYAGGACGTAGTAGTGGTAGTTGCAGTTGTTTTTGTTGTTGATGTTGTAATATAGTCAGTAGAATAATCTTTGCGCGTCCACAATGAAAGAAGAATTTCAACGTAGAATGAAAGAGCCTTTTTAAAAGCATTATTGCGACACAAGTGTGATAAGCAAATTTTTGTAATCTGAACCACAATCGCTCTGGGAACAGATAAATTATATAAATACTCATAAAGTCATAACTGATATTTTTGGTAAATTTTATCATGGTCTGCTATGGTTATAAACTTATACGTTATCATTGCTCACAATACCTATTTCATTTCAGTTCGGCGATGACAGTTTAAAATATCTATTGTATTGGTGTACCGTGAACGTGATTTTATCAACTTTATTCACCCATACAATAAAGAAATTAAGGAATTAGTGATGTTAGAAACTTCCCGTGTTATTAAGTACTATTATTAGCATCTGATTTGTCGGTCATGTAAGTATCATATATTATAATAATACATTACTATATATATATTTTCCATAAGGTATGTCATTAGCACAATTTATCAATAACCTAACCTAACCTTTATTAGGAGTTAAAAAAAATAAATTAGAACGTTAAATTTTTAACGAATATTCAAGTTCTCCACCAAATTTAAATCTTCAAATCTCAGCTCCGGAATCGAGAATTTTCTGTGCCGTGAACTTCCCATATATTGTATTATTGTATATTGTGTCCCCTCAAAAATTAAAATTAATACCTAGGTATAATATTTTAAGATTACTTTGGCGCATGATTTTTGAGGAGTTCATATACGAAATTTATATTACTTTAGTGACATAAAATTTGAAAGACCTAATGCTCATTATTGCCATTTTGTACATTTATCCCGTAATAACCTGCATGAAAAGTCTTCACTTATGAAGAAACTTTGATTGTGTATGAACGCGCCTATAGTCAAAGACAATAATGACTAATTATTGATTAATAAAATTAATATTATAATAACGTTTAGTGTTACGCGCTTGTGTATGTATTTGTGTGTTTTTTGCAAATTTTGCAAGTGCTTTTTGAAAATAAATCCATAAAATAAATACAAATATAAATGTATAACAATATCTTCTAATTTGTGAGTTTTATGGACTTAAATAATAATAAAAAAAATTAATAAAAATTAATTACAATAAATACTATTTCAAATAAAATAAGTTTCATTATTAATTGTTTTGTACAAATAATTTGTAATAATAATAATAATAATAATAATAATAATAATAAAATGTACTTTGAATAGTTTGTATTATTTACATGAAATAAAAAAGTCGGTACAGGTATATAAAGCAAGAATTGAAGTGCCCTTCCTCATGCATTTCTAAGCTTTATCAAAGCACGAGAGCCAATAACAGACGCTTGTAATCCCCAGAGGTGTCGCCCTAAAACAAAACCTCATTAACTGATATACAATACAGCATAAGCCATAAGTATTGGTATTGCATTTGCATTTATACGTATTATTATATTTATATAGTTGCACAACAATGTAGGTACATGAACTGTAATTTGTTACCATCACGCCCGCCAAACAATGTAAAACATCAATATTCGATGGCATGTATTTAGTATTTATACCATCATCAAATCATGCTAGTAATAATAAATAAATATAACATATACATACATTGTTGCACAATGATAAAAATAATACGATTAGTTTATTATTATGCTAATAATAATTTGTTAATTTAAGATTTATTACAATAATTGACGGTGGGTTATGCGCGTTGTTAAAGATTTTGTATGTTTTGCAATCCCTGCGTTTATATTATGTTGTTAAAACGGTTTGAAATTAAATCAGTCTTAAATTCATAAACCACTTAGTGCGAGCGTTTTAACTTTTAAAACAGCTCATATTTTTTAAACCATTTTAACTCAATCATATAAACGTAGTGAATGTTATATTTTTATACGCCAATGTGATTTCTAAGTATTATGTCTATAAATGTCCATAATGTTATGTGAGTCCAGTCTATACAAACTTAGACATATCATTATATGGTATAGGTACTGCAGTTGTCTATTAAAACATTTATTAAAAAATTTAAACTAACAAAACAGATTTTTACTATTGCAATATATAATATGCGATCTACCTATACTAGCTCGATCTAAAAAAAAAATATCAACATTTGTGGTTTCTCTATGTTAAACGTATATGCTATATATGGGTGGTGGTTACGGGTTAGTTAACCTAAACAACGTTTTTGATTTCTTCATTTTTTAATGAGGCTATACTAACAGTGTAAGAGACAATACAGTCAATTATAGAATTTAATTGCTATTTGCTTTACTCTATAATCACAATGTATTATATACATAGATACTATAAGACTCTGTTGTCTGTTATTCTTTTATGTTATAATTCTATATTTCATGATGGATTTGTCATCTGTGTAGAGATTGTTCAGTAGTTACAAGGATTTTAACTGGTAAGATATAAGAACTCATTGTCCCTAACCCATAGGTATGTAATTCGGTGATCATTTTATTTAAATTACCAGAAAAAATAATATATTTTATCTTATAATGTGTAAAACGAACACTGTGTTATATAAAAAGTGACATTTTTTAAAATTAAAAATCAATTTCCATTGAATTATCATTAGAAAGATGAAAATAAACGTATTTAACAAATGTATATGATAGGTATTAGGAGAAATTTTTATCCTTTGTGCCAATTTATCAATCATGAATGGATTCTAGTGGATTTAAAATTAATATTAGTCTACAATTCACAATATTCACTTAAAATTGTGTAGAATAATATCTGCATTTAACTAATTTCGTTATTAACACGTTATCACGTCCATCACAAAAAAAAGGTAGTTGTATGATACGATGTGATTGCATCAACTATGTAATATAACACTTAACAAGTAATAATATGTTTCGACTAAAACAAAAGTCGGTCATTTACAGTTACAGACGTCCATAATAATTTACGGGTTTTAATAATAGACAACTGCAGCAGCCGATTGCGACGTCGTGCCGAGCTACTTATACCTGTGAATTGTCGCGTTGTACAGAAATAGCACGTGCATAATAAAATATTATAACTATAGTCGGGTGAATGAAAAGTGGCCGCTGATGCCCATGCACCTAGCGGTCAATTTTCTTTATTGTACCGCAAAATTATGGAAAAAAGCGCGCGCATTTTGAATTATTAATCATTATTAATCGCATTTTACATGATTCACTTTGAGAACCCATGGCTTATCGAGAAAAAAAAGGTTCCTATCTATTGCCAGCGGCCACTTTTCATTCACCCGACTATAATCATAGTCTTTATAATATAATTTTATAAATTATTTTCAGCCGTACTTTATAGGTACAGTTTGTTAGCTATACTTCAAACGAGTGTTTATAATAATATATGAATACACCATAACCTATGAATTAAGATAAATTGAGGTATATTGTAATTAATGGTTTAAACATTAATATATGACATAATATTATATAATAATATAATTTATCATATATTAATATATTATTGTTCATTATGGTGACTTACAGCGATTCTGTCGGCCAACGGAGTACCGTAAATGGTTTCATAGGACTGTTTGATGTCCCCCAAATCGATTTCAGATCTCCCAACGATGATCCTGATCAGCTGACGGTCATTGGTGCCGAAACCCGCCATTGAGGCTTCCAACTGATCGGCGTAGTAGTCGCTCTTCTTCTTAGCACTTTTCACTGTACATATTATATTGTATTTATTTATTTGTGATAATATTTTAATTTTCCCTTAAAATAACGTATTAACGCCTAAAGGAAAGTATTCAAGTTCTATAAAGCCGAGAAAACTTCGAAGTGACCAGATACTGACATTAGTAATTGTTTACGTATATGTATAAATACTTATATCTATATATAATAAGTTATTTTTCATTGTAGCTGCCTATTTGAGCGATGATAGAAAAAACACTCACCGATGGTCAAAAAACCATGTTCCAGAGAGCCGGAAGTTTCATTCTTTATGGTCTCTACGATGTCCTTGCCAGTGAGGTTCTCGTACTCTTCGAAAATGGCCCTTAGCTGTGGATAAGAACGAGTGGCCAGAATAGAATTGAAGGTCGACTCGTCCGTGCCCCATTGAGCTTCACCTGAAAAATGTAATCGATATATTGTTATACTATACACAGGGTACAGACTTATAGCTATTACACATAAAAATTATTCGACACGCATAATATTAGCAGGATTGAATAAGTTTTTTTTTATAAGTAGCTATTTACTTTTTTACTATGAAAACTCAATGATTAGGTATATATGTAGAAATACGCTTATAACTTATAAGTAAGTTATAAATTATAACTATGATATCACAGTAGGTAGTAGTTAATTCATATATCATAATCCATTTTAACCAAAATACTTTATGAAACCTAAATCCGAATAAAATCTAGTTTAATATATAATTTAGTAAAACCATAACAAGCAATTTTTTTCAGCTTAATCATAACTTAAATTAATAAATTCAAAAACAATTGAGGGAAATCAATGTTGATACTTAAAATATTATGTTAACCTAACTTTATTGATTTACATGCAATCTCATATTCGGCTGAAACACAATTGAGCATAAAACACCTTTTTTGTGACACGATTGAGCAAAATTGTAGGCGTATCAAAGGAAATTTAAATACAAAAGAAAACCTACACGATTGAGCATAAAAAAACTCTGCAACGTTGCCATTTTCAATTTAAAAAAAAAAAATATTATTTAAATTTAAAAATATTTACTTAAATAATTATAATAATTTAAAATATAACATGTCAAAAAAATAGCATGATTTCATAGTAAATGTTTAACTTACCTAGTCACATTAAAATAGTATTTAGATTCATTTGATAATAACAAAAATAATAGATTTGGCATGAAAATAATAAAATCAAAATATTTATAATAATAATAATTATGACGTGAAAATAATAAAATAAAAATATTTATAAGTCAATAATAAATAGTAGTCACATTATGTAATATATGTTTGATAATAATAAAACTGTAATAAATTAAATTTAAATAGGTACCTTGGTATATATTTCTAATCTGGCTTAAATATATTAATAAATATTTTGGCAACGTCGCATAAAATATTCTATGCTCAATCGTGATTCACCGCTCATATTCACAGTGTTATCGGATTCAGGGAGTTAACATAATTAATATGGGTAGATTACCTAAATTTGACTAAGTACCTACCTCGAGAATAGATAATTTGAGAGCAAAATGTACTGATTGTTTGCAAAAATTCGTATTTACTTTTGTTGTAGATACCTATTATTATAATGCAGTGTTTTATCTTACGTTTAGGTTAACTATATATTTATGATATATTTTATATAGTTCATTATTAAGTTGGTGTATCATTTAACTTTATTACTGTTTCACTGAATTAAGCAGTTTTTATCAGTTGAAATCATTTATTAATTTAGAAAAAAATATCAAAATCAGGAATGCATACCTGCGTCGATAAGAGCTTGAGCGTCCGCAACCGCGGCACTGCGATCGACTTCCACATCTTCATCGCGATTGGCCTGAAACGTAACATTTTAATAATTTATTATTTTATATAATTTTGTTATCATATTATATTTTAACATTTGAATAAGTAATATCATTCTATGATAAAAATTATAAAATATCTCTATCGTTATTTTACTCGTAATTATTAGAAATACATATGTATTGACTATCATGTTATTTGTGATACGATGATCACTGATCGATATTGCTATCCTTTCCAGTTGACCTAWCCACACTAGMAATTACGGTTGTGCCAGATATCACGTAATTTAAGACTGTTCTCCACACCAATATATAATAATATATAAATATAGCCATTATGCCAAATCATTTTGCGTACATCATATTATAATACGATATGTTTTATTGTCGAACATGTGTTGGTAATAGTGGTACCATTGTACGCTAGGTATACAATATATTATACCCATTGGTGATACTTGGTATAATATTTATGTTAGATAAAAATTATTATAAACGGTGACCTAGTATGAAATTCATAGCCACMTAGGTACTTCATRCTCTAAGTATGTAACCAAACAAGATACCTTTGTAAAACATAATTTTATTTAACCAAGACTTTTAAAAATTCCTTGTCGTTATCCAATTACACTGTGTTTATCAGTTATAAAATGTTGTTAAAATAATTATGAAATTGCGTTGAACTTTATATTTTAATACGAACAACTATATTTTATAATTTTCCATATGAGTTTGCGGCTGAGCTCACAATCAAACATTTTTTACCAAACAATTTATAAAATAGTAGCTTAATGAAACATTATATACTTTAATGAGTACTGAGTATACATAATATTGATATAACATTGTAGGCATTAGTCTATTGCATTATGTTAATGATAGATAATATATCAAACGTTATTATTAACAGCTCGTTTAAARAAAAAAAAWAAATATTTTAATTGATGTAATATAATACACCTAGRTACACAAATTAAGATTATTACTTACACAGCACAAAGACACCAACAATCTTTGGAACGATCCTGAAGTGTCAGATTTCAAATCGTCTTCCAACGAGTTTCCGTATACTGTAAGACAATATGAAAAATCGAACTTTAAACATTGCTGTGCATTCAGCTTGTACATTATTATTACTGATTATCAGCCCAATTTGAGCATAGGTTCACTATAAATTATTATTATTACGTTTTTCGTAGACAGAGGAAATGGTCCGGACCCCGAAATTGCTAAGCGTGCCCAAAATTTCGGCAATAGCCTCTTCATCGGTGCCCACGCCACTTATGGCATCTTTCAATTCCTTGGCGTAAAACTCCGGAAGTGGGGTCATCAGAGCGACAATGGCGTTCTCGAAGTTCCCACCGAGTTCGCTCTTCAGATCGTCGATTAAATCCTGCACATCAAAAAAGCGTATACGTACATTATAATTATTTTTCAAGTACATTCCCTTGACACAGTTACGATATCTTACACACAGATATTATAATAATATATTGTTATATAAATGATGCATTATGTACGATTATGTGTTCTTGAACGAACTGATTGCGATTTTATTCTGTGGTAAAAATGCACTACATTGTGAAAAACAATAGAAATTATTTTATATTAGGCTATAGAGTATAGAAAATATTGTGCTGAGTATAGAATACATGGTTTTAATTAAAAAAGTTAATATACATAATTTTGTTGAAAAATGGGCGTTTATCTTTATTAACTACAGTAATCCCTCGTTATTCGCGGTTTCGATTATCCGCGGTTGAGTCTGCGATAACATTTTATCGTTATTGTAAGAACTCTGTAGATAGTTTATTTTACAAAATTGTAAATAATTGTTGTTATATCGTTAGGTATAACGTGTACAATTATACAACTATGTTTAAATGTACTGAATGYACAGATAAGCATTACATTATGACTTATTTTGTTTTCTTATATCGTTAATGTGTTCAGTGGTTTTTTCATMATTCATAATTTATGTAAAATTGATGATTAATTAATTACTTAATAATTAATCATGTATAATAAAAATAATAATTTATCAAATACATAATTGTAAAAAATATTAACCTTATTGTGATTTTTTAAATTAATACAATGTTCCTTTTTTACATTGCTTTTGGTCTCGTTATCCGTGGTTTTGATATCCGGTGTGTAACTTTGCTGGAACGTAACTCCCGCGGATAACGAGGGATTTCCGTATTTAATTATAGTATATAGTATATACATTACTGTCATACTTCAATTTAAGATATTATTTACTTAACAAATATTTAAAGAAAATAAATAAATTAAAATTAAAATATTAACTTCTTTTGTGCATTTTGTGCTGCGGTATTGACATTATATATTTATATTATTATAATTAATATAATTTCAACTTTAAATTTTATAATGTTTGTAACATTGATAATTATATATGATTTAATCAGAAATCGTTTAATTTCGGATAATTTTAACTTAATTAATACTATAGTGATTCATTATACATTATATGTATAGTACCTAATATAATTATTATGTTTACTTAAACTGTATAATCATCATAATATAGTGTCTTTATAAATATATATAATATTATCAATAGAAAAAACTGTACGATTTTGTTTTAATTATCAATTGCATCTATAATTATTATTTTATATTTTATATATTATATTTGTTTTATAGTATAAAATATGTACCATAAATAACGATATTATATAAATTATAAATTATATCATGTTTATCACATCATTAGATACTATATTATTGTTATATTAGGTATATTTTTTTAAAATTAAAAGTATTGAATCACCTGTTAATTAAAAACAAAAATAAAGGAAATATGGTATCTGCTGTGATTATTTTATAATTGAATTTGAWTAGATTCATCAAGATGTATTAATGTTTTAACGTTGATGATAACAAGTGCCTAGATAGTTTAAGGTACTATACTTATCGTATAGAAGTAATTAATGGCAGTTGACATGCCAGAATCGTTTGTATTAAATTTAAATTTAAAAATGTGGTATTTGTCACTTTTTAATTTCGATTTGTTTTGAGGAAACTATAATATAATAAAGCGCAACAAAATGCTATGTTTATTATAATTTCTAATATTAAAACCACGAAAYCAATGGTCTCCGTGCGTAATCAAAAAAAAWAATTAAAATATGTTTTAGCTTCGTAAAAAATGACACACGATTAAACATATTTATATAGTAGGTACGTTTTACGTGATTAAAATGTTTCAGGTAATCTGTAAATTTTACTAAGGAAAGTGAAAAAAAAATATAAGAGTTATACAAAAGTTTAAAATGGTCTGCGTACCTAACCTAACCTAACCTAACGATTTAAGTATGGCATTCATTGGAGTATAATTTCAGTATAATATGTTAAACATTTTTTTTTTAAAGAAGAGGTAATCCACCTCACCTCTTCATCAACCCCTCTCATCCATACCAAAACTATTATTTGAATTTCACTATAGAGAATACCGATATCCCACTGCAACCGATTTCTCGCGTACCTACCTAAAATATTTACTGTGTAGATATAGGTACATGAAATCGATAAACCTATAAGATGATAATAAGTATAGAAACGAATATTATCGTCGAAACAAAAGCCTRGTACACGTCATATAAAAGTATAAAATAATAATATCATAGTGAAATGATAATTAATACGTTATCTCCATAAATTATGAATAATAAAATAATTGCAATGCAAACATCGATAATTTTATCACATTCATTTCTATTTATCCACTAAAAAATGCACATAAATATAATAGTTAGTATGTATACGATATTCTATATTCTGTATCATTATATATTTACATGGTACAGCATAGATCATAAATGGAGGAATTTTATATATAGAGAGATTATGAAGATATTAACTTATCGGTTAATTTATTTTGGGCCGTACACTCCTATAAAAACGAAACTTAGCCGAGTAACCGACGATTCACATTATCGCAGAACACGCAAGAAAATCAATATAAGTATTAATAAATTGAAGTGCTCAGGTATTACTGCTGTTATGTAAAAGTAATAATTATCATTRTCTATTGTATATGTAGGTACCTACCGAGTTATTAATAGTAGGTATAATAGTATAGTGATTTTTATGTGTTTTTTAAACAAATAAATATGTATATATATATTTTTAAGGTTTGAGGTCAAACCAACCACTAGGTACCTATCTATATACGATCGATCGTACAAACTGTACCTGTCCACGGAGAACCATCAGACACCGAATTATATTTTTAACGTCTCATACAATAGTTGGTATTAGCACTTTATCGTACGATGAATGAATGATGAAAAATAAGTAAAAGTAATTATTTTACAAGAAGTCTCTGACTTTCTCAAAAAATGAGTAAACCACGCAGCATCTCGACGCTCTCTCTTTGTATAATTCTTTTTAGAATATCTATCTAAATATATATATATATATATATATATATCATGCAAAGAAAGAGAAAGCGAGAGTATTCGCATTATTATATCTTCAATATACATTTTACTACCTTCCCATATAGTGTCTTGAAAGCTTCTTTAATCTCCTGTCTCTGAGTGTTTGACCGTTTTGCTAGTATGTCGATGATGGCTTGCTCGTCCGTACCGAATCCTTTCATGGCTGTCCTAAGTACGGTGGCGTCTGCTTCGGCATCGAAATCGGYTGCCGGGCGGACTGTGGGAGTGCACTGTATAAGAAACACAAAATCTATTAAATAACCATAAGAGTTGAATAAACCGTAAACTCAATCGTATAATTGGTAATATTTTTTGAATTCTAACTATACCAAACTCAACAGAGGTTTCTGCAGTAAAAATGCTGTGATATACTAATTCTGGTTACGAAATCAAGCATGTAAAATGTATTGTGAAGTTTAAAGTTCATTATCTATTATCTTGGCAATATTAAGCATCCGTTCCGAGTTTTAGGTGTAGTTAAGGGGGGGGGGTAAGGGGTTTCCACAAAATGTTTTTTTTTATATTTTTTATAATTTTAAATAATAGTTATACCATGCGAAGACATTATTATGCGTGTGATTTTGATAATAATAATAATAATAATACGATAACTTACCCTAGTCGTATAATAAGTCATGGTGATATAGGGTGATGAGGGTGATGTAGAATCTTCGACGGATTTCTAAAATAAAAAAATAAAATTAATTATTAAAGTGTAGACGATAAAAATGTATAATACTATAATAAGTATACGTGGGGTACCTACAATATAATATATTAAATTATTGTTTAGTTAACTCGTTGACCAGCCGGCACAAACTGAACAAGCGTATTATAATGTTTGACGTCTGCCGGCGTAAAATTTAGCGTGAGTCATCGCAGTGATAGAAAAAAAATAAGCGTGACGATATTTTATAACTTGCCGCTTCGCCCCTCTCCGGGTAACATTCTCGACGTGAAATAGCTACAATAATAATACTATACTCTATCTGCTATACGTGCTGTTTTTTTCAACGAGAGGAGCATTCTTAAATCAAAAATTTATTTTTAATTGATTCGTTCGGTGAGCGTTTATTGTATTCAGAGAACTAGTTTATGAACGCGCGTTTAGTTAATAAGAATTTAAAAAATGCACACATGTCCCGGATAACAACAATAATATTTAATTTAAACGATGAATGATTCGAGGTATATTTGTGTGCAGTTTTGGTATACTATAATAAAATCAAACATCAGAATGATATATTCAGATTATATCGCACCGCCAATATACTTACAGCATAATGATTAGTCGTATTCTTTGAGTGTCATACATACAACATACATAAATAATTATATATATATGTATATATGTATATATGTATATATTATAATACGTTTGTCGCATTATTATTTATTAGGCTGAAATATAAACGTGACACACAAGGGAAACATAATTTATTATTGATTTAAGGTGAAAATATATTCTGCATAAAATATTATTTCATTCATRAAAGTCGTTTAACATAGGTTCCTATATTATACAGTTTTTGGGCTGGATACAATTTTTTTACTGTCCAGGAYTAATTTCGTGTAACCGATTTTTATTGCTTAATAATTTTTGCAACTAGTTAAATGTCATGTGATATATCAACCTATTAATTATAATAATTTTATGTTTTTAAATTACAAGTAATATTTATTTAATATACAATTAAATCTTAAAACTGTAGTTATTTCTAGTGAATTTATGTCATAAAAAAATATGGTAAAAAGGAATGGTAATTTGCYCATTGCTCCTTTTTTGATTAAATCACTAAAACACCTTTTTATGGTTAATCTTTTCATAACAATTTCATAAACGTAAATAAAATGTGTGGTATATTATGCTTAAAAGTTAGTTACCTATCTGTATACATTAAAACGTTATATTAAAATTCTATACCTAACAATAGTCAATGATTAGTCATATAAATAATTATATATATTAATTGTCTTATCAAAACACATATTTGGGTCGAAAAATATAAGCTCAAATCAATTATAAAATGCACATTGATGATTAACGTATAGCTGTATAATTTTATCTGAACTCTGAAGTATAGGTATCACATACTTCAATAATATATTTGTAGCTTTAAACGTTGATAAATGTACAGTAAATAATATGCATCAGGAGAAATATGTTTTAATCATCATATAGACAGTCTTATTAGCACATGTCTTCTAAAATATTTGGCTAATGTACACAAGTTAATTACATACAACGGCCTCACTCGTCATACGATAAGCCTCACTCTATGTATTTTATCAAAGCACAGAAAAAAAGAACGCTATGTGTTTATTAGTATCGGATTAACCTGATAGTGTTTCAAAAATGTATTAATCTATTTAAACGAAATAATAATAATATTGATAGAAAAATGATTAATCAAAATACATTGTATATCGACACCTACAGGGGTTTATACCAAGTACTTGTGCGCTCATTAATTCGAAAGTTAAATGTTATTATTTTCATTTTATATGTACACACACACAAATTAAAACGCAATGAATAACCATTTTACATTTAAAAAGAACAATATATGAGTGTAGTGTATACAACTTATATGTTGAACTCGAAGGTTGGACGTGCGTGGTGAATATTTATGTGTATTATTTCGTTCTATAAAAGAATATTATAACTGTCCTTGGAAATATGCCAGTGACACACACTCGTAAAATACACGAATCTGTTGGTCCAGCTGAACGAAATATACTTCGTTACATCAACATAGCRATGATAAAATTATGAGTATTTAAAAAATATTATTATTATGGTGGTTAAGACCAGGACCAAATATAATAAATATATTATATATATATTTTTTTTTTAATCGAATATTTAGTTTCAAATTATCTTAGGTCAGTAGTTATGATAATATAATTTTATTATTGAGCAAGTTTGAAGTTGTTGTAAAGTGTAAGGAGTATCTTAAATAATTATATTATACATCAATATCAGAATTATGAAATTAGACTTTTAATTTTTAAGTGACTATACTGAAGTGTATAATATTGTCTTAGCTTTAGACTTAGGTACTAAATTTGAATGTTGCTTATAGAATACGAAATAGTTATAGTAATGCCTACGAAATCGTCCAAATAAAAAATAAATTTTAGCCTGCAGAAATTTCTAACTGAATGAAAAGCTAAACTAATTAATTAAATTAAAAACTGTTTTGTTCGTCATCCATATTACAGACTACAGTATTTTTTTGTTATTTCTTTATATAATATTATGAATATCACGAACATATTGTGGAAACTTTTTTACGATCAAAAATATATGTACACAGTGTAATTTTTCGCATTAATTATATTAAAAATAATGTCATGACCCCATTGAATTTGAAAAAAAAAAACTATTACTCTTATTGCAAGGAAAATATCACTTTTAGATAAGATTTAGTTTTTGTATTAGTTGAAGAGTTCACAAATTATTGTACCATTTAAAGACCTTCCTCAGAATTATTTTTGAAAATTTAACAAAAAAAAAAAGATTGTTTAAAGAATTACCATGTACCTAGATACAAAAATAGTAACCTGCGATACAATTTTCACATTTTATAAAAATAACTGTGAAAATTAAATTTGATATTTTAATATCTGTGTTTTTAATATTATTTAAGACACGAAATATGACTTTCTTCAGTTGTGGAGTACAGCATTACGGCAGCAATGACCAATCTGCCTTATACATTCAAGGCCAATACAAATAAGAAAAAATGTTACTTATTATTCATGTTAGGTGTACGCGTGAGTCAATCTAATCTTACAAGTGTTACAGAAATAAAATATTTTGTAATAGGTAAATAATTATTTACATATTATTAAAATGACGTGATAAACAAACAAACACGCGAATAGATAATAATATTATATTATTACAAAATGTATGTGGCCCTGACTGTGACCCTCAAACAGCTGTGGTAAAATACAATAACATTATTATATTAGTCCAGAAACGAACATTTAAAATATCATTCCGTCGTACACGAAATAATATAAATTATAAACCACTGATATTTTGCATTCTCACAAACATAAAATAATAAATAATATAATATAGTTATAGTTTTAACATTATTATTTGGATATTTTCGTTTACTTACCGATATTATGATTATAACTCAAAAATAACTCGATCACGTCGTTTGTGTACACTGTGCTGAACAGAATAAGACTAAATAATGATAATATTATTGTATTGTGCGATCGTTCGCCCGCAACGGTGCCAGACAGACTGCTTACAAGCCGTAACRCTGTCGCCATTCGTCGATCGATTTTTATTTTTGTAACGGTCCGTCCTGTATAATAGCGGTAATGTATACGGTGTGATGAAAAAGTATAACATGCAAGTGATAATTTTTTGATATTTTCACTATGGTATCGATGAAACAGATGTCGATATCGAGTAAATCGTAAATCATAAATGCCATTTTTCGATTCCAAACATTGACATGTGTTGTGTGTGTGTGTGGTGGGGGGGTTGGGGGTTGGGGGTAGGAAATGTTCAATATAGAAAATTTTTTGATAAATTTCTACTAAAATAATGCAACAATTTTTTAAAATTGAAATCGAAAATTGGCTTGATAGGTATAGCTTTTCGTTTATTTCGATACGATTTTGAGAATTATTTTACCACTTTATCCAAGTGCATTTTTGATGTRCCAMTTTCACGACAGGTGTCACCGGTTTCCACCAAAAATGACTCTTYCGTTTTCCGCCAATACATTTTTCCATCAAATTATAGAATTTTAAAGTTTGGGAACCCTTATGTAAATATTTAATAATTTTATATATTTTTTTAAGTAATAACTTTAATATTTTTTATAGGTACACACGATGCAGTATACACACTATAAAGTTAAATATACAATTTTTTCCAGTTATTAATTATTACCTACCTACATAAGTAATGACAAGTGTATCGACAAAATAAGTAAAAAAAATATAATTTCATCATAGATATAACACTTATTAMGATAAATTTATGGTTTATTTTGAGATATACCTATAATAGTGGTATGGTATATAATATTTTTTAATATGGTGGRTTTTTAATTTTTATACCTGTATGCATCCTTATTTGCATTGAAAATATTATACTAGATAATATGATTATTTAATCTGTTATCTGATATCACACTACTGMAATATTTTGTTCGATTTGTCAAAAATATTATGGTATTGAGTACTGAGTAGTGACTAGTATTTTTTTAAATATTTACATATATTATCTCTAATAAGTGTTATGATAAAATTATATTTTTACTTATTTTGTCGATACACTAATATCAAAAATTGTATTATTTAACTCTATAGTGTGCATAGTGTGTACTTATACAAAACATTATAGTTATCTAAAAAATTATGTAAAATTATTAAATCTTTATATAAGGGTTCTCAGACTTTAAAATTCAATAATTTATGATTGATGGAAAACGGAAAGGTCACTTTTGGCGGAAACTCGTGACACCCTTCACGACAACTGGAATTATGCTCTTTCCATCATGTTATTTTTGAATTTCATTGAATCAACTCCTTATAGACTTGCTTAATACATTTTTCAATCAATCTCATAATTAAAATGATTATCAGGGTCATTTTTGGTTTCTATTTGCTTCGCAATTATCATAATTTTTCAGTAAGTGTAGTATTCTTCACTAAAGGACTTTGTAATTATTGAAATCAGTATAAATATAAATATAAATATAAATCATCCAATTTTTAGTAGTTAAATCTTCATCACTTCATCATTCCTATCATATATCTATATTTTGCGAGCATAACTCTGTATGTATTTATATAATTTAATCAATAGTACTTGATATATATTATGTTCTATAGTACGTATTGTACAATTGAGTATCATCCTTTAAAGATATAATATGTATAATCGTTTTATAACATTATATATACATAAAAAAAAACGCTTATGAAAAAAAAAATTGTATAGTAATCGCGGTTTTCCTACATTTATCTGATATATCTGATTTATATTGCATTTAACATGAAAATAATAGAGGGCAGTATTAGTTTTTTCACTGAAAATTGATTTCAAACTAATAGTTATAATGAGTGACAGTACAGCGTTTACGATTTAATAATAATATTATGTTCATCTGTCGTATAAATTAGTGAAGTAAAAATGAATTTTACGGCATATACYTACCTGCGATAATACCAACAACCATAAACATAATATTTATTATTTTATAATCATTTCTATCAAAATTACTCCGTGTTTTTCTGCATTTTTTGACATAATTWCTTAGTTAATTACTTAAATTAAATTAAATTAATATTATTTTAACGTCATGTCAAAAAATTAAATGAAAACAAAAGCATAAGACTGTTTATCATTATTATATTTATCATTTGGGACAATTATTAAAAAGCATAAGTAAGAGCGCCATAAAACTACGTTTACTTATTACAATATAATATATACGAGTGTATTAAAATTGCCTATACAAACCGCCGTATAGAATCATGAAACAAAATAATATTTAAGCATAAGCCATAATATTATAAGCCAKTTATTGTAACATCAATCATCGGTTAGTCTTACTTGTTAGATTAAGCAGAATAAAAATTGCATTCGTTAATTTAAACACAATATTTTATTAACATAAGTATAAAAAATGTACAATATTATTTCTATATAAAAAAGCTATTAACTAATTGAAAGTCACATACATACACATAGGTTCAGCGTTAATACTGATTAGTTTACAAGTACTACGAACTTTCGGAATAAAATAAAACAACACACAAATATACAAATATTTAGATGAATAGCATAATTGAGCTTATTTACAATAAATTATATTAGATAATATATAATTGTTTCTATTAAAATAATATTATTAAAAATACAAAATGACTAAATATGAACACATCAAACAAAACATTCATATGATTTACTTATTTTACACAATAAAAATATTAGTTGGTTTTTTACCAGTCTTATGTACATCGGGAATAGTCTGGTAGTAAAACCACTGAGATCGTTTTTGTTTGGAATTTAAAGGTAACATCTGAAAATTAAAATATAATACATATTCAATACAAACAAACAATAATGCAATTATCTTAATCSATATACATTATATAACTATGTAACATGATGTGGATTAAAAAAACTACATATTTTTTAAACGATTCGTGTTTCAACTAGTTACTTAGTAATATAATAGTTAATCAATATTCCACTCAAATTATTATTTTTTCTATAGAATGATCACATATTTTATTTTTCAATACCACGTGCATTACACGTGCCCTATATAATAATCTGGGAATAATTCTTTAGCTTCAAAATATTAAAATATACTACTACCTCTCTCTGGAGAAAAGCGGTCGCTTCGATATCTGGTCGCATGACTGCCATTCGTATGGCGATGTAAACGCATGCCGTACCCGAGACCACAATGAGTCCGATGCCATACACGAGTAACATCGTGTGGTTGTCTCCACTATCAGTATCTATGGTCATGGCATTCAGTTGGTAACCCCACACAACTACAAGGAACAGTAGCGAAACCGGTAGGCAAACGTCAGACAGAATACTGAAGGATATTTCATCCTGCATTAAAGAAATTACTCCGTGAATACATTTCATTACTTTTTTACAATATTTACTAAGATATAATAAGTTTTATTGTAGGTCGATATGTGTAAGTAAATATGTAAATAAATTGTTATATGGCATATATTTTATTTTGATATCATTTTGTAAGAAATAAAAATATCTATTGTTGATTTTGTATGAAATAAATAAAGCAAACCAAAACTAACGAATTTGTRGTCAATAAACGTTAAAATTAATATGACGAATTTTAAATTTTTACTCAGGTAATTAAAAACTTATAATACTTTAATTACACGACACTAATGAAGAAACCTAGTGATGGTTTCTGCAATTTGTAATACGAAGTCAATCCTTAATTGAATGTAATGATTAATTAAAGTATTGGAATTAAAAAAAAAACAAAGTTATTTTTTTAAATATCTATTAAATGTGTTGCTTAGAATCAAAATAAGTTAAATGTTATTATATATTATATAAAAATATTACAAATTACATTACTTATAGTGTATATTTTTAGTATTATTTAAAATGGTAACCCRACTAGAGGACTGCTTTGGAATTACTTCGTTTAGTACACAACCAAGGCTAGCAAACTTTTTTTGATCACATAAGTTAAAAAAATTATCACGTTCAAAGGTTATTCGAATATACCTATAAATGCTGTTGTTATAAGTATTATTATCAGTATTATCAGTTTTGTTATTTTCAATTGTTATGTGAGTTATCATGTATGATCTCTACTATACAAATAATTTCAGATTTATATATAACTTTTCAAACACACTGCATGAAATAAGATATTTTTTATTGCTTATAGAAATACAGTTAATTTAATTTACCTTAGAGTTAAGAATAAAATATTACTTACTTATAACTAGATAAATTACAATTAAAGTATAGTGAATAAATTATATTTGTTTGTTTTTATTTTCAGTAAAATTAACAGGATAACCAAAATTCCTTATAATTTTATTGCTTCCGTATTTACAATAAATTGTTATTCTCTTAATGGCAAAACCATGAATAGGACAGGTATAAAGTTCATCTAAAATTATAAAAAYATAAATAAAGTATRTATTTGTATCATATACATTTCTAAAAATATAATAAATAAATATTATTTTTTACGAGAGTATGTAAGAACAACAAAATATTCTGTTTTTATATATTTTTTAACTTTAAGCCAATACATTTAATACTGAATAATGCATTCAATAATATAATAATTATATTTATGTTTTTAACATTTTAGAAAAATATGAACAGACATTGAAAAAATATAATACAATTTTCTTTAGCAAATAAATATAATGTTTATTCAATCATGTACCTATATTATATATTTAATGATAATTCTAGTATTTTTTTTTTTTATTAATTTAAAATAAAATTTACAGTTTCAAATATTAATAATAAATAAAATGATCTTTCGTCTCCAGTTTTGATTCTTTATCACGATCAGATGAGTTATCACAAAGGCCGTGTTCAATCTTAATTAATTAAATAACAAGATAGTACAAATTGATTAAAATCAAAACAAACATTTTTTTATAAAATRCAGATTTAATTAAAAAATTATAATGTATGCTGGCCCCAATGAGGTGCATATATATTTAGAAAAACTTTTTTTAGAGAGGGTTATAGGGTTATAGTCATAAGTTATGATCCATAATCAATTCAAATTACAAATTCAACGTTATGATATGCAAGTAAAACACGTTTTCGTATACAATTGCGTGTTGTAGAAGAAGGATGGTAACTTGAACCATTCTCTTGTAGTCTTATAACGTGTTTGATGTCAATAATAAAGTATGTAGGTAACAATATAACATAGTTAAATAATATAATACTATCACACTGTATATGCATGTCTATCAAAAATTTTACRTTGATTAAAACATTTTTTGCAATAAGCAAATTCTAAACGTAAGCGACAGTGTCTGTAGAAAAACTATATACAGTTTTATGATAATACGTAGGTAATWATTATTGTGTTAATAGTTGAGCAGTCGAAGCTCGTGGCATGTAGTCTAGGATTTTAACATCACCGTCTAATGCGTTCGGTCAGAGTTCTGCCATCCATATTATATTTTCTGCCAGACATTCGTTAATCAACATCAGTAATAGTTACTGACGATAAACAAACATTTGATATTTATTATATAAATAATATTATACACTGCTATACCTAAGTATAGATATAATTGATTTAAGTTTAAATAAGACGGTATTTCAACGAAACGCGTTAACAAAATAATAAATATATATTTACTAGATTTGTGTAACTCTTTTATCCGACAGGTTTTACCACAGCGTGTCATTAATAATAATCGTATTATAATACAGTAAAACCTCTAAAAAACTGACACTCGTGGAACATTAAAAATTGTTTAATATCAAGCGGTATCC